TTATACTAATCAGCATTTCAAACCAAACATTCCAGTAGGCTACCTCATGACTACTCAAACATCCTACTTTTCTTGAATGTCTGAATTCACAACTTTGAATAATTTTGTTGTAAATGTTTGTCTTTCAAAGTTATAACGAATCAATGTTATTTAAATTACTTCAATACAAAATGTGATCACAATAGATTTTTTTATCCCCAAATGTTTCCAATTCAGGCTTAATTGTGGACACCCGCTAATTGTATTATGTCCTTATTTGGTTCACGGGGGATTTATTCATTTCGACGTTGTGGGTCGAGAAGCTTCCGTCCTTATCGACTCTATTGAATTAGCAAAGATTTAGTGGGAGGGACAATGACTGACAACGTCTGAAGTACAAGAGGGCGTTGTCGCTGCCTGCTGCTTTCATTCAGTCCTTTACATTCAAATGTCAGCGAGGGACTGCATGGGAGAGCGTAGGGGCTAACTCGAAGTGAAAGGGGCGAGCGAGACTCGAGGGAGCACGATTGGAGAGAAAGAAGACGCTTCAGTGCAAGAGCTCGTAAACTGAAAATTAGCCTGACGCGAGAGGGAGGGATATGGATGGACAGTGCATGTGAAGAGAAGACTCAGGCTTTGGCAACAGTAGCATATGAGTGAAGAAGAAAGGGAGGATCGCAGAGGGAGAGAGAGGGAGCAAAAAGACTCTGACTCCAGCTGAGCAGTGCAGTACTCTCATCACAGAGCCAAGGAGCAGATCCATTCAGACGACTTTTGGGAAGCCGCATCTGAGAAGTTGAGATTTTCTGGAAACTATTTGCTACTGCTTCTTCTGAATCGCCACCATCATCGTTCCCACCAGCAAAGTGAAGAACCCTGAGACAAGATGTTAAGTTTGCAACTAATTGAAAAGAATACAACGCAATCTATTACAGCTGGAGCAAGACACTGAACAGAAAGGTCTCCAAAGATGAGAGCCTTGTTTTGGACTTTTGGATTTTCTCCGGAAATTCTTTCAATCCCTGGCAACGTGACGCAGATTTGAGGATGAGTTTGGTGCCCAGGCAGATACTGATCGTTGGCTGGATGAGGGCAGGAATGAGGTCTCCCCCTGCCCTGTGTTGCCCCCAGCGCTGGCGGCGGCTCCCGTGAGCATGCAGGTCCTTCAGATCGTCAGAGAGCTGGTGTCACCGTCCAGACGTAGAGCTGCTGCCAGGTTTGGAGGTGTGTGTATGTTAGATGCCAATGCTATAGTGTTGTTTTGTTTTTTCAAAACAGGAGTGCCTTATTTTTTTATTTTTTTTTATAGATAAGAAGTAACAGGTTGTGCGCAATCCAGACTAGAACATCCTCTCCTCATATGATTAGAAAACATGTTGTCTTTTGCCATTTGACGGTTCAGGCTGAGCACTGATTGGCTGAATGAGGATGTCCTCTCTTTCTTCTACTTTAATTTCTGAAAAAGCTGATCTAAAGATGTAACAGAGGCCAAAACCAACTAGTGAATGGAACCAAACTGTTTTAGAGCCAGGAACTTGTATTCGGTGTGTGTGCATGCATGTATGTATGTATATGGGGCGACAGTGGCTCAGTTGGTAGAGCATTGGACTTTGAGCGTGGGGTTGTGAGTTCGAGCTCACCACGAGACCTTCTCCACCGACTTCACTGATGTCTGCTGTCACTGTCTTTGGGCAAGACACTTAACCCACTTTGCCTTTAAGAAGCGCAGAAGTAAAGCTCGCTGCATGCCTTGATGTGTGTATTTGTATGTATTCATCAAACTGAAATTTCCCCACTGTGGGACGAATATATATACATATAGTATATATGTATATATATATATTCCATATAATACTTAAACATTTATTTATTCGCTTTAAATATGGATAAAAGGTCCAATTTACTGTTTCATTACAAATGTTCTCAAACAATGTTTTTGCAAAGTGACTCACAAAACATTACATAAATACTTTACCTAAAATTGTATCATTATATGTTTTTATAATTGTGTACACCCCCACTGTAGAAGTAAGGTGTGTGTGTGTGTTCAGGCACATTTCCTACAGCAGTGTTTCTCAAGAGTGCAATGAATAATGAAGCATGTTGCCGTAGGTAATGGAACACTACATGACCCCTGTGTGTTCTGCTTTCTGATTGGAGGATCGTATGAACAGCCTTTTCACTTTGAAAATAATGGCACTTAACTTTTGAAGGTGTCCACACTATAGTAAGCACTATAATTAGCTTTGCGCCATAATAGGGTAAGATTTGTTGCTAAGATGGTTGCTAAGGCAATCTGGAGTTTCATAGAGAGCGCTAAACTACATTCTCAAGGTCAAAATGGTGAATGTGACAAAAAACTATTACTGAGCCAGAGAGTCAATAGGAACCAAAGCGAGTTGGAGCAAAACTTTGTCCATGAGCACTTCCGGCTGATGTTCCGGCTCAGCTTCTATTGGGCTTCATTGATTTGAGGGTTATTATTGCCCATCTTTATAGTTTCTGACTAAAAAACGTATGTACTCATATACATTAGGGGTAAAGTGTCTTGCCCAAGGACACATCGACAGTAGATATCAGTGGGAGTCGGTGGGCCAGACCTATTTTACATGTAGGTATTTTATTTTATTTTTATTTTTTGTGGCCACTGCTAGTAGCGTAACTTCAGAAACAGGAATTGGAACTCCCCGCCCTCCGTGAGTGTTTGATTTAGGTTTTGCCCGTTAGCCTGTTGCCTGCAAGCTCGCTGTGAAAGAGATGACTGGTTTGTCCAGCACAAATTGCCGAAGTTGATGTTAACAAGCTTCTGAATGGAAAGACTAGTTTTAAAAAGTTACCAGTTTGCATCAAATGTGAGTGTGAAATATAACACTACACGACTTCAACGAAACAAAACAATTGCATACTGTAAGATAAGAGCATTAAAGTGATAATTCAAGTGACATAAAGAATAGATACAAAATTGAGATGAATTAGAATTTAAATATGACATGTATGCGGTTAAACTCAATTTAAGAAAATAATCCTTAGTGATATATTTACATACACTATATACAAAGATACTAAATGTATCTTTTGCTATTGTGTGAGGTTGATAGAGCTTTTGGTTTTGCACATAAAGTGCACTTAACAGTTAAGATCTCTCCAACAAACTCAAAATAATGGGAGGGTGCCGAATGTACTATCATCAAGTGTAGTGCCTGCTCCTGCTTCAGCTTCAGCCATCTTCTACCAGAATCTACTATTTGTGTAGATTTTTTATCCCCTGCTGATCTCGCCGTTACTGACCTTTTGTACCAAGCAAAATATTACACTTTTTTTTGTGTTTTTTTTAATGCCTAACATTACTGCGTTACAGAAAAAAGAATTACATTACAGTAATTACATTACTTTTATAAAGCGTTACTCCCAGCACTGATGGACTCTCTGAACCAACGAGCCTTTAGTTTGCAATGCGCTCTTTATTGAAGCACACTAAGGTGGACTCTTTCATTTATAGGGAGTAAAATGAGAGACTGCTGAATCTCCTAGTTTCTTTTTTACATAAAGAACAACTAAGATGTTGCGGTGCATTGGGCACAAGCTAAACATAATAAGGTGCCAGACTGTGACAGGCTTTATAGACACGCGTGGATGATGACAGGATGTACCTTACCTGAATCAGGAAAGCTTATGAATGGAAGCCCGTTTCCGCCATGTAAAAAAAAAAAAAAAAAAGGCGACCGAAGTTTTAATTTTTACGAGTTTAAACTCCAAATTATGAGTGTAAAATTAAAAATTTTGACTTTCAATTGTATATTTAAGATGGCTAATTAGTAAAACATCATACATCCATGTTTACATTTGCAGAGCTATCGTTTGTAAAGGTAACGCTAGCTAACAGCGCAGTACGTTTATATTAATTTTATTTAGCTACACTTTAGAATAATAACAACAAATTAACAGCTTGTCCCCAGTCTTTATGTGTAAACCGTGAGCTGTTTGATTTGCAGTTATATGGTTTTTCCACTTGGTGCCACTGTGTTATTATTTGCAGGAAGGTGGGAACATACGTGGGGTGGGAAAGTTTCTACAGGTATCCAATTTCAAGTCGGAAGAAGTTTGTTAACCCACATAGAGCGATTATTACATATTTACAAGAAATCCTAGTGATTTATCTTATGGAAGCCAATACCATCGCTGTTAATAGTATTCATTTTATTATTTATGTATTGTGCTTTTGTTGCAGCACAAACTGCATATGCACAGTTTGAAACTCAAAAATACGACTATAAAAGTCATAATTTTGACTTTTAAACTCGTAATTTAGAGTTTTAAAGTGATTGTCTAACCTGGCTTGCAAGCTGAATTCTCGCGGTATTTGTGCGTTCACAAACACTCGAGAATACATCTTGTCCCGCTCCCGCCAACCCTTTTCGAGTAGAACATCTAGGTGTTCAAGCCAATCACGCGCCAGTCCGGGGGTTTAGGGCGGGATATCCGGGTTTGACGAAAGCAAGAAGTGCCGGGCCGAAGCAAAACAAACATGGCTACGCAGGAGGACGGACGCGTAGCTGAGGCTATCAAGTCAGTTTTAGCAGAATCTCCATTTTTTTTTTTTAAAGATGAACAGCGAGAGGCGCTTTGTGCATTTCTGGACAGCAACCTTGGTAGGCGGGCACACAGCGTCACTTCGCCCAATCAGCTTGAAGTATTCTGCTGCTTATCCCTCCTTTCCCCGAAAGGATTCTCCTGCAGAAGTCCCAGATTGATATTGTGGAGAACGCATTAGAGTTCTACACAATCATCAGTGATTGTCTGGAGTTTGTCAGAAAAAAGAGAGAGAGGTACAAAAACGACCCAAGCTCCCTCCCCCTTCCTTTCTGATTGGTCTACGCCTACGTTTCCATAACAATAAATCAACACGTGACACTTCAAGATGGCGGCGCCCTGTAGAACTGCTGTTACTTCAATCAACAAAAGCTGAAATTCTTGCTAAACAAACCAGCAAACAAAAAGATACAGCACAGTAAAACTTGGCTATGCCACCGAAGAGAGCAACAAGCAAAGTAGAGATGGAGAATGAGATGGAGGACATTCGAAAGTCGCTTAACCATATGTCTGAGGAGCTGCCCAAAGTGACTCAACAGCTGGCAAAGCTAATGGGACTTTTTGAAGAAGTCAGACAACTGAAGGAGCTGATTAAAGAAAAAGACAAAACTATCAATGAGCTTGAAAAGAGGATTGATCAGTTGGAACAGTACACGAGGATGGACGACGTGATTATCACCGGACTGAGAGTTAAACCCCGCTCCTATGCCAAGGCGGCAGCCGGGGGGAGAAACATCAGTGAAGATGCTGACACAGAGGACCAACTATCACTGGAGACACAGGTTGTGACATTTCTGATGGAAAAGGACATACATCTATATGCCAAAAATCTCGCAGCCTGTCATATGCTCCCAAGGAAAGATGTAAGTAACCCTGTCATTCTTTTACGCTTTGCAAATCGTAAGCACAAAGTTGAGCTACTGCGTCAAGGGAGGAAATTAAAGGCATCTGCTGTTTATTTAAATGAGCATCTTACGAAGAAGACAGCAGACATGGCACGAGAAGCGCGCATCCTAAGAAGAAATGACAAAATCAAAGCAACGTGGACGAGGAACTGTAAGGTGCTTATTCAACTAAAGGGGACTACTCCGGAGCAGGCTAAAGTAATCATGGTAAGAGAACTCAAGGACCTTGATCCATATCGCTAAATTGTCTGCACCTAAACTACTTGGATTCTTTTCCAAATCCCGCTCGTTATGTGTTATGGAGGTCATGATATTTTTTGTTTTCGTTAGAAGGGACAAACGTATGGACCTTACTGTCTCTCACTGGAGTGGTGATTATGCAGTTCACGCGCAACAGTTAAACTTTGAGCATGTGGGACGTTGGATTATTTATTTGCTTTTTGACTACGCGTGGAAATGGATTCAATACCTATTTCACGTGGACTATGCGCGGATAATATTTAGTAATCCATGGATTTACTTTTTGGAAGTTGGACGGAGTAAAAGGACAGTGACTTTGACACCTTTATTGGAAACAATGGATTGTGTTAAACAGGACAGGAGCATTTCTTTTACATCAAGATTACATTTTTGGTTAAATTATACTAACAATTGTGCTTGCTGTGGTCACGGATTCAAGTCATTTTTTATTTATTATTATTATATATTTTTCTTTTTTCTTTCTTTTTTCCATTTTTTTCTCTCTCTACGAGCGTATGCACGTGTGCTTGGGCGTGTGAGTGTTTGTGTGGGCGAATGCGTGTGTATGTGTATGTACAGTTGCAAGGAAACGTTTAATCTATATAATGTCAAATATAGATCAGATGGCTGATGAGGAGTGTGAATTGTCAGTAGTATCCAGAGATGAAGTTGAGAATGAACAAGAATATACGGATAATTTAGATAGAAATGAATTGGAAAAACACATCAAACATATGAACTTAAATTTACTTGATACTCTGAACTATAAAACAAATGAGTTTGGCGAAAACATAGATCCAGATAATCACTTTTATAATGACATATTAAAGGACTGCAAGTATTACTCTGATGAACAGTTTAATCTTGTTGATATGGATGGAGCATTAAGTGTAATTCATTTCAACAGTAGGAGCCTGTACAAAAATTATGATAGTATCAAAGAATATCTTAGTAAACTTAATAAATTTAAAGTTATAGCAATGTCAGAGACATGGTTAGATACAGATAAAGCAACTGAAGTAGAACTAGAAGGATATGAGCTCTTTACCATCAATAGGACTAATAAAAAAGGTGGTGGCGTGGCACTATATGTGGACATGGATCTGAGAGGTAACCTTGTTAATAGTAAGTCATTCACAATTGATGGAGTTATAGAGTGCATAACCGTGGAAATCGAAGTAAAACAATCCAAAAATGTTGTTGTTAGCTGTGTGTACAGGACACCAGGATCATGTATTGATACATTTAATCAAATTATGGATAGATTATTCAATAACATAAAAAAGACACATATTGTCTGTGGTGATTTTAATATAAATCTCTTAAACCCTCATAATAGTATGCAAACAAATGAGTTCACTATGACTATGTATAGCAATAATCTATTCCCACTAATCATCAAACCCACAAGACTTACAGTCGAAACAGCAACATTAATAGATAACATATTTACCAATAGTTTTCAAACACAAACCACTGCTGGCTTACTCATAAACGATATTACCGATCATCTTCCAGTGTTCAGTATTTTTCATAAGCTACTCAGTAGGTATGATATATCAAGTACATCCCAATCACTAACATATAAAATGGTGAGACATAGAACTCCTGAAGCCATGGCTGCCTTAAGGGCTGACCTATCCAGTCTGACGTGGAGTGAGGTCTATTCCACATCTAATCCTGACCAGGCCTATGACATCTTCTTAACCAAACTGATAAGTCTTTATGACAAACACTGCCCACCAAAGAAACATATTATTAAAGAATCTAACAACCAAAACAAACCGTGGATTACGAAAGGTATAGCTAATGCGTGCAAAAAGAAGAAATATTATTATAAATTATTTCTAAAATCACGATCTAGAGAAGCTGAAGAAAGATATAAAAAATATAAAAATAAATTAACCAACATAATAAGATCAAGCCAAAAAATATATAATAATGAACTACTAGAGAAACAGAAAGATAATACACAAGGTACTTGGAAAGTTCTAAATGGTATACTTAAAAACAAAAACAAAAAAGCTGATTATCCCAAATATTATGTTAAAGATGGAAAAATTATGGATAAAAATACAGAAATTGTAAATGCATTTAATCAATTCTTTGTCAATGTTGGACCCACTCTAGCCCAAGAAATTGTTCCACCACCAGAAACTATGGAAGTGGACATAAGTAATATCGAAAGTAACTTAAATTCATTTTTTATTAGAAGTGTAGATGACAATGAAATTATAAATATTGTGAATACATTTAAGAGTAAGAGGTCCACTGACAGTTTTGATTTTGATATGATGCTGGTAAAGGAGATTATAGCTAGCATTGTTATACCTTTAACACATATCTTTAATCAGTCTTTTCTCACTGGCATCTTTCCAACTGCAATGAAAATTTCAAAAGTAATACCTATTTTCAAAAGTGGAGACAAACACACATTTACAAACTACAGACCAATTTCTTTACTTTCCCAATTCTCCAAAATCCTAGAAAAGCTGTTTGACACGAGAATGAATGAATTTTTAAATAAGCACAATATCATTTACGACCGGCAGTTTGGCTTTAGGGCAAATAGGTCGACCTCTATGGCAGTCATGGATCTGGTGGAGGAAATTTCAACGGCAACAGACAATGGAGAAAATACAGTCGGTGTCTTTATAGATCTAAGTAAGGCCTTTGACACGATTAATCATCAATTACTTTTATCAAAAATGCAAAGATATGGCTTCAGAGGAGTCGCATATGAATGGTTAAAAAGTTATCTAAGTGGGAGGCAGCAATATGTACAAATTAGTAATGTTAGTAACGAAAAACACACCATAACTCACGGTGTCCCGCAGGGGTCTGTTCTTGGGCCAAAATTATTCATCATGTACATTAATGACATCTGGCAAGTCCTTAAGAACATGCAGTGCATTCTGTTTGCTGATGACACCAGCCTCTATTGTTCTGGACAAAATATTGAACAGTTAATGCATACAGTTGAAAATGAACTAGAATTACTAAAACGATGGTTTGACTACAATAAATTATCAATGAATGTGAATAAAACAAAATATATTATATTCGGTAATAAGAAAATTGATAATTCAATAAAACTAAACATCGACCAAAGGGAAATCGAGAGGGTGTGTCATACAACATTTTTGGGAGTGCATGTTGATGAAAGACTAAATTGGAAAGTGCATATAAATTTTGTGAAATCTAAAGTATCAAAAATAATTGGCATATTGTGTAAAATCAAGGCAGGTGTAAACCAAAAATCACTCCACTTATTATACAATGCTCTCATTCTTCCATATCTAAATTATGGTGTGGAACTTTGGGGGAATAATTATAAAAGTACAATCCAACCTATTTTTATACTGCAAAAAAAGCGGTCAGAATAGTCAATTATGCAGATTATTCTGCCCCAACAAATCCCTTGTTCATAAAATTAAGAATACTAAAACTAAATGATTTAGTTGATCTTAGCACAGCTATTGTTATGTATAAGGTTCATAACCATAAGCTTCCTGAATGTATTCAAGAAAGGTTCAAACCCAGAGAGACTGGCTATAATCTAAGAGGAACTCACATTTATCAGAAAAATATATTTGGAACAAACACCAAAGCCAGATGTGTTTCAGTCAGAGGAGTAAATATATGGAATAGTCTGAATGACACCTTAAAAAACTCAACATCGTTAAACGCTTTCAAAAAAAAAATCAAATCTAACATAATTAGCAGTTACACAGAATTAGAAATAAATCACAGATAAACTCTCCTGTGTACAGTATATTTTGTATTTTGTACTATTTTTCTCTTGTACTTTGCTACTTGTAAAATGTTCCTTTGTACTATTGTGATTTTTTTTTTTTATTGTAATGATTTCGGGGGTGGGCGCTCATAAGCTTTTGCTTCGGCCCACTCCTTTTGAGCAGAACTTGAACTGCTCAAATAAATAAATAAACTAAACTAAACTAAACACATTTAAATGTTAATCGGAGAATACATTATACATTATTAATACACATGCACGGACGTTTTCAGAATTATTTGTTTACGTTCCCTAAAACCTTCAAACAAGGTCAGAAATCTAGGGGTAATTATGGACTCAGACTTAAATTTTAATAGCCACATCAAATCAGTAACATCAGCAGCTTTTTACCATCTAAAAAACATTGCCAGGATCAAAAACATAGTGTCTAAAGCAGACTTGGAGATTCTTATCCATGCATTTGTCTCCAGTAGGTTAGACTACTGCAATGGCCTGCTCACAGGTCTGTCCAAACAGGCTGTAAAACAGCTGCAGTATATTCAAAATGCAGCAGCTCGAGTCCTGACTAGAACCAGGAAGTACGACCACATTAGTCCGGTCCTCAGGTCTCTGCACTGGCTTCCTGTGGCTCAGAGAATAGACTTTAAAACAGCTCTGCTTGTGTACAAGTCTATCCATGCCTTGCCTTAAATGATTGGGATAAACAATATTATTGATAGCACTTAATGCTGCTGATAAAACTACAATAAAGCAGGACAATCCCATTTTTTTCAATTTCCCATTTCCCCAATCCCAATTTCATCAAAAAGCATAGGCTAAGAAATAAGTTAAATGTAAAATGTAGACATGCCGTACCAAACCCTTTAGTTTACAAAGAAGGTGTCCACTATTATAAAGAAAATGCACAGCCAATATTAATGGAGGCCCAAAATATATGATTTATCCCATCAGTTATTGAACAATAACTTAGTCATCATCATGACAGGCCTCATGATGTCACATGAACACAACCTACAGTGCCTTGCGAAAGTATTCGGCCCCCTTGAACCTTTCAACATTTCGCCATATTTCAGGCTTCAAACATAAAGATATAAAATTTTAATTTTTCGTCATGAATCAACAACAAGTGGGACACAATCGTGAAGTGGAATGAAATTTGTTGGATCATTTAAACTTTTTTAACAAATAAAAAACTGAAAAGTGGGGCGTGCAATATTATTCGGCCCCTTTACTTTCAGGGCAGCAAACTCAGTCCAGAAGTTCAGTGAGGATCTTTGAATGATCCAATGTTGTCCTAAATGACTGATGATGATAAATAGAATGCACCTGTGTGTAATCAAGTCTCCGTATAAATGCACCTGCTCTTTGATAGTCTCAG